GAATTTACACGTGTCCCTGTTTACTTACACTGCTTGTATTTATCCTGCCTCAACAGTTCTGAACACTTCTAAAGTCATGCACCATTTGTATCATAATGTGAGTAAATCAATGTGTCTGGCAGCAATAAAGGGGACAATTGGTAACAAATCATGTGTCTCCTTTTGGAGGCATTTGAGCACATTTTGCACTAAAAGCCTGTGCGAAATACTTGGAAAAATAACTGTGGAGCTCTGTGTTTTGCCTTAATTTCCATGGAGATTCCAAAACTTCCTGCCTACAGCAGTCATGGAATGTGCCCCCACCCCCGTAACTTTTCCACATAAATCAGGGCATCGTCCTCTAATTTTAGGGCTGTTACTGAGATGAAGTAAAACCTCTCAGATAGCAGGCCACTTGCAGCAAATTCTTTTGGTCCATGTCAATTGCAACATTGTGTGGCCGGTAAGCCAAAGGTATGAAGGCGTTTTGCTTTAGGTGTTAACTGTGGCCGAGCAGCAGCAACAAGAGCACCACACCTGTTCTGCCCCCATGCCGCCCCGCTACCACTTATCTCCCATCCACTTCTTTATGCTGTTGCTTTATGTTGCTCCTTTGCCACAATTGACATATTTCAAGTGAAAGATTGACAATGTTAAATGTTTTTTTTTTTTTTAGGATAGTACTTCTTTCATTGTATTAACTGCCATTGTGTTAAATGTGTGGCTTGTAATCTGACTTTATAAAGCTGCTCTGATCAATATTTTTATATTAATGATGAATCAAAGGGGTCTTTCCATGTGATGAATAACCAGAAGATTTCCCCCAACTCTGTAGTTCCCCTATTAGCTCTACAGAGTGTGTTTTGGTTCACTCTCATCAGTGTCATTTCCAGCAGCAACAGACAGCTCTTTTCAGCAGAAAACCCCTCTGTAATACTTCCATACACTATCTACCTGGCACCAAATGGCAAACAAAGCTAACGACTAGCTGGTGAACACAGTGGGACATTTAGGTGCTAAAGAGCCAGATATTTTCCTCAGGAGCTGGTGAGCCCGGAGCTAAAGAGAGAGTGATTATTGGGCATAAATCCATCAGACGGCCAGAAGCACAGTGTCTGCTAGATGTGTAATTAAGCAATTGTTTGCCATTATGCCTTTATACAGTGATAATAAAACCATCAGGCAGAGTTGTAGACTTGCAACTTGAAGCTTAGTGTCAGTATTTGAGTCTTGACTTGATTTCACTCCCTAAAGACTTGACTTGAGACTGAAGACCTGGAATAAATAACAATATCTCAAGTTTTGATAAGGTGAAATCCCAGGACTATATATATGTAATATGTATGTATACGTATACATATATATGTATCTCATCACAGGGTAGATTTTTCATTTACGTGAACATTGCCAGATAGTTCAGTAACACTGATATCTATGGCAAAATGAACTGAAGTCGTCTCACATGGGTGAACCTATGTCAATGAAAGTGAACGGTGTGCCGTGACTAGACATACAACAAAACATAACCTGCACCTCAGACATTACTGTAGAAACAAATGCAGCAGGTATGTAAGAAATAAGCAGTCAGGGATGTGATTGGATTTTCTGATCTGCACAAACCCGCTGTAATTAAAGTGAATGGTGTGCAGACTCGCATATCGTAGAATACTGGACTATTAGCCTTGGTGGAGGTCTGGAGGGATGGGACAATATACAACATTATTGTGTGTCACGATAAAAAACACTCAAATAAATGTAAATGTATGTGGTGAATTTCCATTATTGTGATAATCATGATTCTGGATAATCCTGAATATCCGCACATGGCTTGACCTGAAAAAGCTGTCAACAGATGTGTGGAAATATTATAGATTGCAAAATGCAGAACAGGAAGAGGAGGTGTGTGTCTGTGATGTAATAAATATAGCCTATGTGTTTCCAGTATGTTTTAGTGGCATTTTAAATGTATGAAGTATATTTTCATGATTAGGGTGATAAAATCGTGTTTTGCAATTACTTTGGCCAAGATAATCGTGACATGAAATTTTCATATCGTCCCATCTCCTACTCTGAGTGCCCTTCTAGTTATTTGTGCATTCAAATGGTATCTATATTTAAAAAAACACACAAACTATTTACACAAAGAAAGGAATATGTTTGCATAGTTTGCATGAATTTGCTCTTTGCACTTGAAACTTGACAAACTATGACAGACTTGTCTTGAATGACTTGAAACTTGACCGAAACACAGCCCTGCTAACAGTTGATAGGTTTCAAGTATTTGTAGACATTGTAACCTCTAACCCTGCCTTAGACTATAACCTTTAACCCCCATCCCCATCTAATCTCAGCTCATTCCAAAGGTTTCTACCTTTAGGCCAACGATAACACTTAGGACATTGTTCTTCATGAAACATGCATGAGGCACCAGGTTCACCGTGGCTGTTCGGCTGGTTCCAGTCTCAGACTGCCAGTGGTCTCCAGTGAATAAAATGAGCTGCACAATCCAGGAAGATGATTCACTGTGTGTATGAGTCAAAAAACATTATGTGTCTGAAGCAACACAGAGAAATGTTCTGTGGTGCACGATCTCCAGGCTAAATGAAAACAATGGCACCTCAGAGTCAGCGTCTGACACTGTGTAGCCAGGTGCAAACTTACCTGTGAAAAGTCTGTTTCTTCAAGTCCAAGATGCCAGTGAGTAATTATTGTAGACGAATGAGTAAGTGTTAAATTAGTATATGACATGGCAGAGATCATACAAACAACAGGGGCTAAAGAATTCATACAAGATGAGTTTAAGGATGAATAAATCAGCATAACTGTGAGAGCCATAGGCGGCATGTTTTTCCTAAAAATCCCCTATCAGCAGACCCCATGTTAATACTTGGATGTCACACTAGTTTAGTCTCAGCTTGTCTCCTTCTGTGCTTCCTCGTAAACCTCTAAGTGACATTTCCTTATATCTCCGTACTTCTCTGTAAAAAAGTAAATTCATCAGAAGCATGTCAAAACATCCCACATCATTTTCTTAACTAGTCAGCAATAATATCCAAAGAATTCTTGTCATGAGGGTTAAAGCGACATACCAACAGGTGTATGTGAGTGAGTGAGCACAGCTGGGGAATTCACTGGTCATGCCTCAGCATGCAGGAATGTTTTATATAACCCTTTATGGCCCAGGTGTATGTAAATGAAGATGTGCCCGACTCTGCCTCTGTGGAGTGAATAGTGTGCAAAGGTCAGTGATATTAAGATAATCATGAATCACTGTCACTGATGTTTCTCTTTTTTAAACCAGTGTTTACATCTCGAAAGATTGACAATACATGAAAAAAACACCATTGATGGTACAGAATGGAAGTAAATTTTTTTTTTTTCTTGATGCAATAACATAGAAATGAACAAAAAAATGTGTTTTAATATTTGTTGTTGTACAAAATCAAGCCATACAGTCTTCCATTGCAACATTTTAATCGTCTTCGTAAAGTTGACATTTGTTTGTATGAATCTTTTGTCTGTAATGCCAAAAGCACTTTTCTTCGATGGTCAACATATTCATTATTTTCATCCTGCACTTTAAACCTTTTTTTCCCAGAAGGAAATATAATTTATAATTGATTGTATCAATTGTGAACAAAATGCCTACAATTAACATCTCAAGGGCTGAACAACCTCAGGCAGTAGGCACTACTTCTCTTGACCCTCTCAGCTTCCATTAGGGCAAGTGACAAAGATATTACACAGGGAAATGGCTGTGGCCTGTAGATGTAAAGATAGTCATACATACAGTAATTTGAATAATTGAAGAATTGGTGGAATTGAAAGCCATGCCATCATCTTAATATCTCTGACTAATACCCTGACAAAACAGGGAATCCCCTCAGAGGGATTTTGACAAACACAGTCACACTGCTCTATTCCATTGTCCAGATAAGCCATGACAGTGTGACAGTGAACCAGCATGGATAGTACCAGGACCCTGAAACTGAAGCAGCTAAATGGAATTCAGCCAGCATTCATTTTTATTATTATTATTTATCCGTTTCAAAATGTCCTTCTCTTCTTCTCAGCTCCAGAAGTCTCATTCACACAGGCACTTGAGCTGTAGGTCAACGTCACAGATCCATACAGGAGACGTCCTACAGTTGACTACTGCTCTCTAGTGTTTCTTTAAGGTACTGCAGCAGCTCTGGCGCACTAGGGGGGTTCAAGTTTCGTTCACTGGCAGGAGCCAATCAGCCAGCTCCGATCAGTTTGTTAAGCGGGAGACTGCGGAGGGACCGCTGCCACCGTCAAGCCGATGGTCATGTGACAGACGGAAATAGCCGAAGACTTCAGCAAACAACTTCAGCGACATTTGGCTGAGCAGCACACGCTTTAAACCCTCTATTGTGTGGAAATGTAATAACGAAACGCTGTCAAACTAAAAGTACTTTAATGACTTAATAGTCCAATTAAGAACTACTTTACTTGAGTATTTCACGCTAGTTTATACGTTTAGGCTACCTAATTCCAGTGTCAAATATTTGTACTCCACTAAATTACATTTTTCTGACAGCTATTGTAGATTACATAAATAACATGATACATATGATGCACTGTTCAAGATTAAACTACCAAAATAGGAGTATATCGGCCAGCTACAACATTAAAATACTCCTTACATGTCATGCAGCAATAATAATAACACATTACTTGTTTACACATTTGTTTAATTGTAGTATGGTTAATTTAACTTCAATAAAGAACCAGGAAATGTCTTCCAGCATTGATGATTGAGCAATGCTAGATAATGTGAGATGACACTGTGTAATACTGTGTCAAACACACTCAGACTCACTCCGCTGCAGCACACCAGCTCCACGGAGCTCGGCTGCCTCCGTCGACCACGTGACTGTGGTGTTGCGGGTCGTAGCGCTCCCTCGCTCCCTCGCGCAGGTTTAGGTTGGTCAAAACATTTGCGGAGCCCTGATTGGTCAGAAACGTGTTGGTCTCTTCTCTGATTGGTTGGATGGAACGGAGGGGGTCCGGTTCTTGCTCAGCGTTCTTCCGGCTTACATGTTGGAAAAAAGAAAAGACGAATGGAAAAATTGTAATCCACAAAACGACCATTGCCTTGTAACTCCGCGATACGGTAACCTTTGCACATATGTCGAAACGTGTCTGTTTTTGTAGCCCGACGAAGTTTACGCCGTTGTACTGTCGACAAAGTTCAGCATTTAGCGTTGAAAGCAGGCGGCACCAGGGTTAGCCACTCTAACGTTAGCACAATGCTAGCTACGATAGCTGGCTAACAAGGTAGCTTTTTAGTTTTAAGGTTACCGAACCAAAACCGGTGACCGCAGTGAGCATTGTTTGACCGGGCTGGGATCGCGTTGGCTCAAGTTGATGTAGGCAGTTTTTACCTGCAGGTTTTTGATATTTAATAAGCAACGATACCGTTGTTGTCGAGCAGTTTTTGTCATATGTTATTGCCCTTACAACGTTAAACAGAGGTCCACAAAAATGGTATTGTTTTGTTTTAATCTTAAAATGGATGTACGACGGTCTCCGCTTTTATAAACCGCAGTTGCCTGGAGTCAGTGTAGTCCAGCTGCTCCTTTGCTCGCTGGTAACCATGATATTCCGCAGCGCTACATTAGCCTGTTTATGTCCCCGCGCTGCCTGTTAAGGGTTAAACTGGTAGGCTTTTATTGTTGTAGCCTCCGTACAGCTTTAGTATTACAAATACAGTTTTAACTGACCTTAAGCCTTAACGATATCTTCCGTGCGCCTGGTACTGGAATTAATGTACAATTCTGACACTATTTTAGGTCATAAATAGTAAAATGAGCTCCCAGCAATTCCCCCGACACGGACTGCCTGTTTCCAGCGGGGGAGCACCTCAGATCTCTGCTGCTGGAAGCCTGGTGTCTATCAGTCAGCCGTCAAATGCATCAGGTAACTTATTGTCACTGAAATGACTCGCAGGATGCTTCATATATGGCGAGGAAGATGCCTGTAGGTAAATACTTCTGTTTTTCCATAGGTGATGCAGACAGCAGCCGAGATGCTGACCACGGGCAGCAGGATCATACACCGGGCGGGGGCGGGGGAACCTTGGCATTCAGAGATGACAAGCAGGAGACCATGGTGGTCAGACCTTACCCACAAGTACAGGCGCACGGCCAGCCCCAAGCTGCACCCCAAACCGTGCCCATCCAGCCCGGCACGCCTGTGACTTTACCTGCCCCCTCTGTCCACCTCCCGCAGGGCCAGCCTGCCGTCCTCACTGAGGGACAGATGAAGGTGATGATTTTGTCTCTACCTGTTAAAACCTTTAGAAGCTTCGTGTACATATTGATGGTAAAATGTGTAGTGTCTTTATCATCCTCAGTGTAAGGTTCACTCAGTTAAATCGTACATCATTAGGTTGGAAAAGATAGAAGTTCACCGTCACTGACTAAGGTTGATTCATTCATGCAAAGTGTTAAATTATCGCTGTGTCATGTAAGATAACCTCTCTGAGGTTGAAAACAAAGCTGGGCTGATTGTTGGGCTGAGTCAGGGCTAAAGAGGGGCTATTGGTTGAAGTTTGAGAGGATTCCAAATGTACAAATATCCCCTCCTCTTCCCATCCCATGCCCTCCAAACTGATTTGGACACGCTTTAAAGTGTGTTTAATATCACAAGCTTAGCCTGTTTGGGCTTGTTTACTATGAGCTTGGCCAACATTGAAATCCAAGATCAAACAAGGAAGGACAATGGAACAAGTACAAATTCTCAGTTCTGTTTTCAGTCTGAGCTGGTAAAGGTTTTCCACCTTAATGTAGTTCTTGTTAATTAGTTGCATTTGGCTGGCTGAATCCTGTGGCTGAGAAGATATCTTAACAAAAGATCTTCCAAAGCCACTGCTTTTGTGTGTTGAAATCACTTAAGTTGCAATACTCAACTTAAGTGAAGTGTTTTTAAAGATCTAATTTATGTATTCTTTCGTACCCACCTCCATCAAAATTTTAAATAGATCTGTACGCTGAGGCCTGGGAAGTGTGCAATGACTTGGTGTTCTGCTTGTTTTGTTGTTTTATTTGTTTTAATCTTTCATTGGATGTGTCATGAGTGTGTATGTAGCCTACGTGTATGTCTTTAGCTGCTATATGTATTTTATGTGTATTTATTGTCTGTAAGGGCAGCTGCACTACACACTTTAAGTCTATGACAAATTTGCCCTAGGGGACAATAAAGTATATTCTATTCTATTGGGCGCTTAGGTTTCTAATTTTATCCTTAGATAATCAAATAGGATAGCTTTTTTTCTTCTTTTGAGTCATGGAAACACCTTCTAGTCAGTCATCCGAAACAGATTGTTCCCAAGGTGCCAAAACTGGAAGGACTTGGATAGCTAATTATTTTTGCTTAACAACTGGCTCACCAAAATACTTTACTGTCAACTTAATTAGGATACTGACCATGTGCAAACTGACCTTACATTTACTTTATGAAAATTCACGTGTCCTGCTGTAACATCTTCTTTCATATTGTAATTTGTTGGTTCCAGTAGACCGTGTTTTCTTTTTAATATATATATCATTGCTCCTAACACCATTCATGGCTAAAAACCAGAAATGTGTTCTTGTTTTTTTTTTAAGGCTGTCCTGAAGTCACCAATGCCAAGTCGACTTATTGCCCCTGCACCAGCTTCCAACCAGGGTCATATCCCCATACCCCCCAAGGTGCCTGGTCACATCACTGTCACCATAGAGAACAGTACTACAACCCCATCTATTCCTGTGGCTACTATCAGTGGTCAGCAGGTGAGTACGCTTTATGTTGGCTGTTAGTGTATGTCATTCTCTCTTTCTTGCTCATTACTAAAGACCTGAGCTTCTTTTATTGTGTTTCAGGGTCACTCCAGCAACTTACATCACCTGATGCCAGCTAACATTCAGATCATTAGGGGCAGTGCCCCTGCACTGCAGATTGGGACCCCTACAGTCCCTCCCCAGACCTTCACATCCCACTTACCCCGAGGTATGCATTATGTATTAAGAACAGCACGCCAGGCTTAATGTTTGCTTGTCCTTGAAACAGTAGTTCATTTACTGCTCATTTGTAGCAGTGCTTTTCTCTAGATCAGTCTATTTTGTGCCCTGTAGGGGCTGCTGCTGCAGCAGTTATGTCCAGCTCCAAGACTGTCCTGCGGCCAGCCACCGGAGCAGGCGCCGGCCCCGGCCAGCCCACAGTGCAGCACATAATCCATCAAACTATTCAGGTGATCTAATGTTTTTTATTCCAAAGTGTTGTGAAGTGATATTGTGTTTAGAAACATTGTTTGTAACAGTGTCAATCCCTCTGCCCACAGTCCCGTCCTGCTGTAACAACGTCTACAGCCGTGCTTCCAACTGTGGTGGCTCCCATTTCAGCAACTAGAACTCAGTCCCCAGTCATCAGCCCAACAGTCACACACTCTGCAGAGGTGGCACATGGGTAAGTATCAGGCTACATTTATTGACTAGGAGCTCGTCCTTCTTTTTCCCTTTTGTTTTAGAAAATTCGTCGTGCTCTTTAGGGTGACGCGTCTTCAGGTGTTTCATTAAATTGCTTGTGTTAAAATTAGCAACACTCGTGCCAC